CCAGCATAGCCAATAGGTACATCTGGATGCTCAGGATTTTTGAAAATGAGGCCCTGACTAAGCAAAACTCTTAAGCATGTGCTTAACTTTAGGTCTCTTTGTTGGCTTAGACTTAAGCATGTGATTAGGATGCTGACTCAGGGCATAGGTGCCTTAATATGGATTTAGGAGCTTAAGTTTAGGCACCCAGTTTTGAAAATTTTGACCATAAATTATTATTCTGTATGCGATCAAAACTCTTGAATTGATAGTAAAGAGGGAAAGAAAGATTATTTTATGTGGGGATCTACTTGAAAGGAGCAAATTTTCTTCATTATGATTTCCCCCCAAACACATTGGGTAGTTCAGCAAACAAACCTGGTCATCAGGCGCAAGGAAGAGGATTTACATAATTCCCAGGTCTACTTCTCACAGTGTTTGGGCTCCTGCAGAATCTTTACTGGACAGTGAATTAAAGAGGCCAGCATCAATTTCTACTATCAGTGGTAACCAGCCAAATCCTTTTATTTAATTTCAGGTGTTTATAATGAGGTTGTTTCCCTCCTGGCAAATATGGATGACCAAGATAAGGGCAAAATTGCCCTCAGGATTGCTTTTATAGCTGAGACCAACCTGGCTAGCGTTGTGACAGTTCTGCTAGAGAAACTGCAACAGGATGAGGTAGGGCAATTTCATGAAATTACATCTGCTTTCCATGTATCCACACCAAATTCTACCTGACTTCAGGGGGGTATATGGGAATGCATGGGGGTAATTCAGTATAGAACTTGGCCTGGCGCACCATCAGTATAATCAGTATTCACCCTTCTGTCCTCAGGCATAAACTCATAATGCAAAATGCTGTTATTACACATCAGGATGATATAATGCTCTATAAAGAGAGCGTTGTCCTTTTACACACAGTGGAGTACATGGGCTGGATATAGTAAAAGTACACTGTAGGACTTGCAGTAAGCTCTTCCAATAATACTTTGCCCTTCTTTAGCATCTTCATCCAAAAATCTCAAAGCACTTACCTAATACTAATGAATTAAGACTCACAGCACCCTTGTGAGAATGGTAAGCATTATCCCCATTTATGGATGATTTGTGTCACAGGGAATTAAGTTACTTGCTCAACACCACTTAGCAAGTTAGTAAAAGAATGTGAATAAAACCCAAGTGAACTGACTCCCTGCTCTAAATCCTAGGCTCATTAATTATGCACGTGCGCAGTAGTGCAGAATTCCCCTAGGAGTAATATTCAGACCCATTTTCCATTTATTAATACTTGCATCCAACAAAGTCCATTTCTCTATTAAGGGCCAACACAGAAGGCATTTTAGTTTCAATTAAAGTACTAGGAGGCCAAGATAAGCCGTTCAGTTCAGAACTGAACTTGGCCTCCTAGTATTTTAATTATTTGAATGACTCAATTAATTATGCTAATTAATTTGATTAATTACTTTAATTACATAGTGCCTATGTATTCATAAGTTATCAGAGACAATTTTCAATTAAACAAATCCTCCTTCCATTTAAAAATGAAGGGAAGGAGCTTCACCCCAGTAGAGCTGGGGTATGATTGCAGTGTGCAGAAGCATTCCTTTTCAAGCAGAACCACTGGAATGTTCAGCCAGTCAAGAGATCTGATTGGCTTTGAACATTCCAAAGTGCTTTATGACCTTGGCATGCAGGTCACATAGATTTAGAGACTCGCAGGAGACAGAGATGGAAAAGACCTATTGGATCAGCCAGTCCATTTCCCTGCTAATGCAGGAGCATTCCCAGCGACCATTTTGCACTGTTTGGGCCAAACTAATTTTAAAAGCCCCTAATGACTGAGCTTCCATCACTTTCCTAGGAAGACTATGTCATAGCCTAATAGACCTGTCTCACAGTTGGGGCATGTTTCCTGTTATTAAATTGTAAGTCTTTTTTTAGTTTAATCCCATTACTTCTACTTTTACCTAAATGTATTATACTAAAAAATTCCTCTCCCTCCTTGGTGTTCACACCCTTCAGATAGGTGTATGGTATTATGATGTCTCCCTCATAGTCATCCCTTGGCCACATCTGCCATAGGCAGCTCTTTCAAGCTGTCTTCAGAAGCAGAGGTCTGCTCGGGCCCAATTTTTAAGCCCAACCTGAACTGGCCCCAAGCCCACTCACCTCACCCTGAGAGGGTTGAATCATTTTCCATCCTGATCCCAACCCTTCCCCCCAAACTGGATGCTTCCACCACATCCTGCTCATGGGGCCGGCGCAGCGGCAACAATGTGCAGCAATGGCTTCATCCTCTGACACTGCCCCCTGGGTATGTGCTGCAGAGAGAGAGAGATGCTGTGACTCCTCGGCATCCTCACTCCACAGCGCATGCAGCGCAGAAAGGAGGTGGTGGCTGGCAGGAACATGCGGTCGGGGTTGTGCCGATCCCATGGGCTAAAAGAGAAGAGCCGACCTGACCCGAGCCCAAGAGGGGTTTTCTCATCCAACCTGACCCTGACGCCTGTAGTCAGGTCCCGTAGGATTTGGGTCAGGTTGCAGGGCTCTATTCAAAAGTCAATTCCGCCACCCCCCTGCATTCTTTTTTTGCTCTCCCATAAATTACTTCCAATTTGTTGATCTCTCTGGGAATGGGGTGCTAGAAAATGCAACAATCCAGCTGCAGTCACACCTCAGTTGAACAGAGAGGAAG